AAGGACAACTCCTCTGGTTTGAGTAGGACATACTCATGAACACTAAGCAAATGGGACCAAAATGAACACAAAATCAAGGTTATAAAGATCTAAGAAAATACTCATCCATATCTGAACTTTATACTTCCAAAGGATTCTTGAGGGTGAGATACTTCTGGATCTAAATGGTCTTGAGCTTCCAAGATGAATTCACTTCCTTGTTCATCCTTCAAGAGCACCAAAAATACACACTAAGGCTCAAAGATGCTCACAAAATGGATTAGGGGTTGTAAGCGAAGAAGTGGACAATGGAGGATGATGTGGGAAAAGGTCTTGGGAGTTAATGATGCTCAAATAGGGCTCAAACCCTAAAAATTAGAGTTTGTATATCAGCCGCGTACACCCAACGTACGTACACAGCTCCACGTTTTTCATTTAAGTGCCAAAGGACTAATTTTGCAAATAATTCTCATGCTAAGGGTCAAAATGAAATTACTTGAACAAGGGTGTTACAATTTTCCCCCACTTGAATCAGACTTCGTCCTCGGATTTTGCTCCTCCAGACAACTCTGAATAAAGAATCCTTGACCCACTAACTTAACCAATGGAGAATAACCATCACTACTCTGCCTAAAATCGGGATATCTAATACCTTGTTTGACTGCCAAGCAGGTAAAGCATTACAAAACTCAGTGAATATGACTTCACTTCGCAACCCAAACCACTCGAAACCCTTCCGACCCGAATTATCTTGCTGATACCACTAGAAAACTGAACATCTGACTATTCACTGCTGATGGACCCTCCATTTGAAAACAATGGCGACTCCCAACATGAGCCTTATCTAAATAATCATTGTAGTAGAACATGAAGAACGTCAACATATTCCACAAACTCTCTTTATCTATTTCGGCATCAAGGCATCTTATAAAGTGAACTCGAGAGACCACTCAGAAAGCCATAACTGCCAACAAACAACCCAAAACTTGAAAATACTCAATTGCAATGACTATCTTTCTCTCCCTAAATGCAAGACCCAAATTCCAATGAGAACCACACAACCGGGAACTCTCAAAATACAACCACCACTAACTCCATCAATATACTCCTCGAAAGCATGAACCCATCAGTTCTAAACTTCAGAAACCAAACTCTAAGACTTATGATCATCCATTCTTCGTACATACCCCTAGTCCCTGACTAGGGACACCACTAAACATGTGGAAAGAATACTCAAAATATACCGGTCAAGAATTCCAACCAATCCCAAACCCGAAAGTTGCCCAAAAAAACCTTAAATACACACTTGACTTTCTGAAAAGTCATAACCATCCTACTATTTTCATACATAATGATGGTTTATCCAATTATTTCATTTTGCACCCAAATCTCTTATCATACCAGGTGTACCTCCACCTGACAACTCGCTCGAGACAATTTCAATGAACTTCATGACTCGAGATTCCATAACCGGTACTTAACATCGGTAACCAATTCCAAATAAACAACCTGTAAGAAAACGGGGTCCATAATGTAACCACTCCGCAAGAGACATCTGATGCACAACTATTAATCCCATTTGACCTTTAACTGCTCACATGATCTAACCCAACTAGTCACTAAGTCTCCCGACTCCCATCAACGCACTAACACTCACCCATTCCAAGAAAACTAGCAATACAAGGCCTAAAAGTCTCAATCAAATAAATATCGGGCCCCACTCATATGAATCATACAACCGCGGGTTCACGATACACCGTGACACCATCCAACCATTGAGAGGAAAAGCTCACGGTTCCTCACCATTTTTGGCAACTCTCGATCTCAGCCATGAAGATTCCAGACCAGCGTCCGGTGGGATTATAGACACACGACCATCATCCCACCGACCTGAAGGAATGAAAACAACGTCCCTTTCAATGCTAACCAGAAACAACACCGGCCATACCCTATTACCACACATAATTATTTCACAACACATGATGCTACTAATACAAAATCAGACAAAAACATGGTCGCACACAATCAGAGAATGAGATAAGTGGTCACACTCTTGTTCCATTTCAAGGCCTATAACCCGGATAAGAACCATGCATATAATTCAAACTAAGTTCTCCATTGCGATCTTGTCCATCCCACATACACCCCTCACGACAATATCTAATGAAGTAACCTCAATACACACCCTTAACGGAACCCATAACCAACCATGGATCTACTATGTTCCTTTTTCCTCACAACCTTACCCAAAGGGTGTGGTACTAGTAGATCTAACCGAAATGACGAACCTCAACCGCTAACTGAAACATCCTCATGAATGGACGGAACTAAGATCCCATAACTTGATTGAAACCGAACAAATCCTACCAATACACAACTAGCTCGAAACTTCCGAAGAACCTCTGCTATTGACGATGAACGTAAGACCAACGATCGAGAGTGCATTGAAAACTAATCCATTGATCCAATAAACTACTAGACATACCAAACTCTAAAACCGATTGACCGATCAAAAACTGCCCATCCTATATTATAGATATCAACCTATACAACAAGCTGAAAAATCCCTCAAAAATCTATACTCAACCTGAGCGACCTAAACGCCTCTTGACCTATTCCTCAAGGTGCTGGAAGGAACCACTGGCTACAACGAGCTCCTTGACCAAAAACTTCTTCCGTGAAGGCGACTCTTGCATTCGTGGACACATACATATGATGGAAAATTGCTCCACACCCCCATCTTGACCATATCCCGATTCAAAGTTTAGCATACCCGAAACACAAATCCCTATGACCCATTCTTCTGAACCCATAACTCAAACAGATCGATGATCCTCTACATAGAATATCCATATCTACCCCACTTAGGGTTTGAACTCCCACTAACTGACATTGAAAACATACCAAAACTCAAATCGAGACATCCCAAACCCTCTAAACACTACTCTTGGCATGCAAAATGGCATATGACAATCTTTTGAATACTAATAATAACCAAACAATTATAACGAAACTATGATTCTTAGGTGGCGACTTAAGTAAACCAATCATAACGTCTCACACACAATCATATGATCATAAACATAAACAGTAAGAGCATGAAGAGTTTGAATACAATACATACCTACGAGTCCTTGAGGTCCTGACTTTGCTTCTTGGAAAACCGCGAATGATGGAGTCTGAGCTACTCTGATCGTCAAACATGGGAAACTTTCCCTAATGTGACTAGGCTGATGACAACGATGACATAATTCTACCTCCAGGGTGCAATATTGGCGAACATGGCCCTTCCGTCCGTACTTGTCGCATTTGAACTTACATCGCATAGGCTCCAAGGTTCCTCCATCCTTAATGTGCATAACGTCGTCCCTCTGGCCTCCAGTACTCAGGTTTGCAACATCGAACTCTTCACCCATCACCGAAATTTGTCGAATCATGTGCCCACTTCCTCTTTCCCTGACGGGCTCCCACATCAAGATATATATATATATATATATATATATATATATATATATATATATATATATATATAGTCGTCTCAACAGTCTCTTCCACAACCCGAAAGGCTGCAGCTCGCTCCCCGAATTTAGCAATCAGCCTGTCAGTGATTCAACCAAACATACCAGATAATTCTTCCAATAAGATCTATGAAACCTCAGTGGTAGTCCAATCGCGTAACCCTGTGTAATATACATCAATATCGAAGGGTTCTTTTTCCCGCCGGGCACCGACATCCTATTAAACAAAACAAAACTGTCATAACATAACCAAAATGTCATCACTAATCCATCACACTTTACCCATACTAGGTAAATCTGCACATAAATCCTCTATTGGCTCCTTAGAATCCCCATGACTTTCTTTAGTTCGAGTATGGATCCTGTGCTTCCAGTAGTACGGGCCCAATGCTACCTACCACACATATCCATAATTTCCCCAATAATCGTCCCAAATCTTCTAAGTCACCTCCTCATAATGGTAGTCCCAAAACCCGCTAAACAACGTCACAACCGCACCAAAGCACTTCCTAGGCTTTCCTAGGATCCCCACTTTACCCTGTTATCAGCTGCTGAAAAACCCCTATTAATGTCAGCTAACCACTTCATGAATATAATTACATGCAACAAAACTTAAATAACCTTTCGACTAAAAGACCTAACCCTACAACAGTTAGACTCAAACAAGAGCTGCGTAATAGGGCCGAATCAATAATTCTAAAATTATTTAACCCTTTCTGCAAGTAACTTAATATATTCATTTAATAGTTCTCTCACATCAATATGAGTCCCACAAAGCACAAAGCAAGCAACATTCGAGCAGTGAAACCGTCTGGCACTAAGACACCATGAAAATCAGGCAGATCCTTACACGTAAATTCCATACCACTAGGCCCAAGCATCAAGGATACACATACATCCTAAATCTACTCTCTCAAGAGTGGCTAATCATTTCTCACACTGGCCTGCCATAAACTGTACTCACTCATGGAACTTACACCAACCCTGCAGTCACTCGTGCATGCTAATCGCACATAATGCTGGATTCTATTGACAATTGAATACTTTATTCTACCCTAAGCCCACAACCAGACGAGGAACAAGAAATAAATCTAAATCAAACATTCTCAAGCTATAACATCTTAGTTATGTACAACTATGATGCACACACTAAGCAACTACAGTAATGATGTCAATTCCATCTATCATACGATAAATTTTCCTAAGCTATCATGCATCATACATAAGGAATTTCTATCATGCAATTCCTAACGATCCTTAGCGTATAAACTAGCATGCAGTTCTATGAAATCATCATCATCATAGACAAATAATATTGTGGGTATCTTGGGGTATACTTTCTTACTCCGAATGATCATACACATCTCATCCGTCTTGATCATCCTTGAAACAATTTTGAAAACAAGTTTTAAAAACAAATTTGAAATTTAATTTGAAAACTTTTACAAATCCATAGTTTGAGTCTGGATTCAAACGAATGCTCATCCAATTCTCTCAAACTAGAGCTCTGATACCAACTTGTAACATCCGAAAAATCACAATAAATTTTTTCATTTTAATTAAGTAAAATCATTGTTTTCAACCAATACCCAAATCAAAAGAAACCAATGTCAAGTACAACTATTCCAGAATCATTGTATCATAATAACTCCAAAACATGTCACCGAAGGATATGTATGATCACATCTTTGCTTTTCCCCGATCATCTGAAGTACCTGAAACATAAAACTTAAACTGTAAGCCAAAGTTTAGTGATGTTGGAAATAGTGTCCAAGGTCATTAACTATTGGTAATATTTCTAATAATAACATGGTCCTTTTAGGTTGCCCTCAAGATCCGAATTTAGTAGAAAAAATAAAAGAGAAATTGGTTTATTAATTATTATGGTTAATATTTAACTAGATGAGGAGCCCCGCGTTGCGAGGCATGGAGCTAAACGAATACGATCGAAAGTTTTACATGAAAAAATTTCAATAAAAACAGGAAAGATTTTTTAAATTTAAAGTACAGTGCTATTCACTGCATCTATAACGTAAAAATGGAAAAGTCACCAAAATGGCAATGCAAAAAACAGAAAAAGAAAAATAGCTACAACTTCAAAGTATAGTGTTATTTAGGGCATTTTAGTACAAAAAATAGAAAATGTACCTAATGCCAATGTAGTTAGGTTTTTGGAAAAAAAAAACATAAAAAAAAAAAAAAAAAAAAAAAAAAAAAAAAAAAAAAAAAAACGGAAGAAAAACATAAAAATTAAAAGTATGTTGCTATTTACCGCAATTATTCAAATGCTTCCATGTCAATATTAAAACAAACAATTATTAAAAATGAGTAGTTGTAATTGGAGGTCTATAACAAACAAAATGGTAGTATTTGTTTAAAATTTAGCAAAAAATAAAAAATGTTGCAACCTTGCAATTATAGCTCCAAATCCAAAGAATTAATCCGGGCTGCAATGAGAGTTACCTTGCCTAAAGTTGTGTTACTTAAAGTTAGAATGGCTTCCGTTAATCTAAAAACTATTTTCAAATAAGAATATACTTTCAACTATTAATTGTTCATATTAACAACCTTCTTTCATCTGTTGCTGCAAGTGTTTTGCTTTCTCTTCTTTCAACCGCACGTACCCCCGCCATCTCACCTAAATACACAACGATCTATAAAATCCAGAGTATGTGTTATCATTATTTGTAATATTAATATTTTTTTAATGAATATAAATCATACATACATACGATTGTAATATATCGTTTTTAATCAAATTATTCAACAAATTTTCATTTTTATAATACCGTAAATGCATAAAAATACCTCTACAATAGCATCAAAATAAAAAATGTCCCAACTGTTCAAAGATTTTTTCATTTTTTAATTAATTAATAGTTGTCACACTCTCTGTTAATATATCTAGGAATCGTGTAAACCAACCTTAACAGGGCATCTGGTTCAAACGTGGAGCAAGGCAGCAGGAAGGTTATTTAAATCACCTGCATCAATAATAAAAAATCACATGAAAAATTATAGATATTTGAAAGAAGAATAGAAGCTTTATATTAATCTGAGCACCATAGCATCAATTTGATTAAAAAAAAAAACTAACGACATCGATGTCTTCTTCTTATTACTGCTCCAAATGGAAAAAAATGAGAGTAATACCAAAACCTCTTGTAAAATAATGAGCTGATTGTTTTCCGATCAACACTCCTAGTAAGGCCAGTTTCATCCAAAATTGTTAAATTCAAATTTTTTTAAGCATAAAAACATTATGCAGGGGTATTTCGGTCCAAAACTGTTAAAACCAAAAAAAATTTAGCTATAAAAGTAGTATGCAGGGGTAGTTTGGTCCAAAACCGTTAAAATCAATTTTTTTTAAGTTTAAAAACAATATGCAGGGGCAGTTTGGTCCAAAAAACTTAAAATTAAATTTTTTAAGTATAGAAACAGTATGCAGGGTCAGTTTGGTCCAAAAATGTTAGAATAAAAAATTTCTAACTATAAAGGCGTCATAATTAGAATTTTACCTTATATAATCCATAGCAAAAGATATTTTGTATAAAAAGTTAAAAAAAAATTGTATGGATTCATAAGTGAACCTTTTTATGTTTCAGTTTTTTCCCATACTTAGTCCCTCCTTTTTCCTCTGCTTCATCTACCAAATATATAATGTCGTTAGCATTTTAAAGGAAAAAAAGTAGATTTTTTATTCAACGAAAGCAAACGAAAGAATGTAAGAAAAAAAAAAGCAAAGGGAGAATGTAATTAGCAAGTAGAGATGGGTTGAGGATCATTTCCATGGATTCCTTCTATCATCAAACATGGAGTTTAAAAGAACATGACAGAATTGAATTCTCTCTGTTTGGAAAGTAAACATGGAGTGGAATCCTGAATTCCATTCATACCAGGAAAGCCGGCATAGAAAGAAGCCATCGTGCATTCTCTGGGAGCCTGGCCCGAATACTGATCCAACAACAGTGTCTCCAACTTCAGCTGGATTAATATTTGTTTTTTCTATCAATGCCTGAGAAATTACAACAAAACAATGTAAAAGTTGTACAAGATTTTTCAAATGAACAATAGAACACAAGTTGAAAGCATTTACCTTCAAAACTGGGGCAAGTATATCATCAGGATAAGCATTCTTGACCCCACGCCTATTTCTTTTGCAAAGGGGAGATCGGTAGGCACTGTATAAATGATAAAAATAAGGAAAAAGGGAAAGAAGATTACCGAAAGATGCATCTTGAAAGTAGTAACAACTGATTCCATAGGGTGTGACCTGTTTGGAGTATTTTATTTGTAGATGATCATAACAACATAATGATGTAAAAGTGGTAAAAATTCCAATTCAGACTTTTATTTAAACAGGAAAGAAACGTTCAGCACGTTTCCTGAAAAGATGAATCCACAGACAGGTGTGCATAACTGATGAAAATTATGATTCGGGCTTTTATTTTATAAGTTTTTTTAATGACACGATAATTGTGTAAATTATGTCAGCTCGGGTGGTGGTGAAACTCTAACCCAACTCTTATAAAAGATTTCTAGGCATAATCTGAGGCCCATTTATGCAGCTGAACTTCAAATATATAAATTGAACAACTAACATATGCAGATGGTAAGCAAAATCTCTAAATCACATAAAAACACATACACAAATAGAAACATCTACATATAAAGATACACACATATATACACTATTACACAAATACAGATATAGAAAGACATACATAGACACACATCTCCAGGGACACCTAGATGTACACCAAAACATCATATTTCCAGCTGCCATAGCTTGCTTCCAACTGCACCTAAACTCTTTTAGCTAGCTTTTAACACATTTTTTGTACTTTTCCATCACATATTATGTCCCTTTTTGAACTTCCCCTGTCATGAACACACATTCAAATCGCCATCTCTCTCTATTACTTAGTCTGTTCTAAAAAAATAAAGTTCAGATTATAAATTATAGAAGGGCGGATAGAATCTGGAAATCTGTAATCCTTCGATTACAAACTGGTATCAAATACCCAGCTGCGATTGAAAACCCTAGTTTTTAAAAACAGTTCTAATCATACAAAAACATACCAATATAGCAAAACTGGAAAATGCAAACGGGAAGAAGATGATTCGCTTACCTGCAATTCCGCCAAAACCATTGCTTCCTCCGCTCCCCCGCCTTACGCCGACAGTAATGAACACTATCACAGTCGATTAGCATATTCACACATGTGCTGAACAACAACGGCATAGAGGAAGAGCGTCATAGGAGATGTTAGGACTTTTTTGACTGAGAGACAGATGGAGAGAGCGACGATGTTGGTCATTGTAGATAGATAAATATCGGTGGAGCCGGGGTCAAAGGGATAAACGGTTTTAGTTCAGCTGTCCTTTTGAACCCGACGGTCACATAGCAGATAGTGGGATGTAGGAGAAGGAATGTCCGAGTTTACTTCCAAGAATAGCTTGAAGACTCTCAAACTTGAATCTTCTTATAAGCACCTGGAGAAGAAAGTCAGCTGGCTTCTCCGGTGATAAATCTTTAGATGAGAAACATCGCACATTTGATCAAATCAGTAGGCAAAGATGAAAAGGGCTTTGAGAGAATCTGAAGCAGCCGATGGTTTTGTGGTGGTTGTGTTTAGAAGTGTCGTTCAGAAATGGAGGGATCTAGAAAAAAAATCGTGGGAAGCACAGTAACCGAGGCAGAACAGGTTGGGGGAGACGTGGGAACGACACGTATCAGCCCCATCCTTATCTTTACAACACATTACACCACTGTTAATAACTTGAGGGACCAAATTGCCAATATCACAAACTTTAATGCCAAAAATCTGAACCACTAAAAATATGATAACTTATGAACCAGTTTTGTCAAAAGACCAGCATGTTCACTATTCATAAAGATGGTCGTCGTCTTTAATATATATAAGAATTAAAAACTAATTAGAAATATATTTTTGGGAATTAATTAACAGTTTAATTAATTAAAAGGTTGAATATTCATTAATCGATAGTTGGTTAATCAGGAATGTTCCAGAACCCTTATAGATTTAGGGTTGGCTGAAAATCACTCCATCCCACATGGGAATATGAGTGAATTTCGTGGTTAGACTCTCATCCCACATGGGAAGGAGTACAAAACCTAGGAACGCATCCAAGGCTATAAATAGGGCTTTAGGGGTTTCATTCTTCCTTGTACATTGGCTTAAAGTTTCGCCAACTCTTCTTCCTCCCCCTCTTAAGGACGATTTCTAGCCCTCTTTGGGTTTGTGAAATTAACCCTTCTCCTAGTTATTTTTATTCCACTCTTTGGTGTCATTAGGTGTGATATCATTAGATGGATTCTGGTTTGGGTCCTCTTATCCAAGCAACTTCATGGAGGATCAAGATCTCAAGCATGGAGATCAAGGGCTACATAAGAGGTAAGTTTTTCTTCTTTATGTTTTCGTTTTCTAGTGTAGATGTAATTAGTATGAAACCATAGATCCATAGGTTGCATTTACGCTTAGGTATATCGTAGTTTTGATTTTTCCGCTACCTAGTTTAGAGTGTATTTGATGCATAGAAAACTCAACAGTTGTATCAGAGCCATTAGTTCATGATTAGATTTACCCTTGATCCATATTTTATGAAAATACTTGTTTGAAATTGAATGAAAGAAGAAAGATTGAAAAATTCGTAATTGTTAAAACCTGTAATCGCAGCTCACGATGTAAGAGCTAGCTGCTCACGACGTGAGCTTGTCAGATTAGAGTTTCCATAATTTTTTCCATTTTCAAATTTGAAATTTTATTAAATATGGATAAATACCAAATTTAAAATGTTTTAAATCTGAAAAATTGATAAATATTATTTAATAGAGATTTAATAAATTTGAATATTAACCCCTCGTGAATTTAAATATTTAATATTATTTATAATAGAGATTTATAAATTTGAATATTAACCCCTCGTGAGTTATTAATTGTTACATTGAGTCGTCGTAATTAATTAGAATTAATAATAGACAACTAAATTTAAAAAGTTTTAAATTTACCCCTTATATATATATATATATATATATATATATATATATATATATATATATATATATATATATATATATATATATTAGAATTGTATCTACTATATGTATAAGAAAGTTACAACATGCGTCCTCGTATGTTTAAATATTGACATTGTCAGTCTTACCATGACTAGGCTCACCCATTCTGATGTAGTGGTTTAAGGAGGTTTCTTTGATTCCTAATGAGGTCAATTTTTAATATGCTTCGCGCTTACCACCCTCACTGCCCTATTGCATTTTGAGAATAGAGTTACCGAAAGGGTTTGATAGTGATAATGGTCAATCTAAAAGTATTCTAAATACAAGTATACAAAAAAATCCCATTTTATGAATAGAATGTGAAGTTCATATTATCAGTGAAAATTGCACATTTTCTTTATATTCTGTTGGTGGAGCTCGTGTGGTTAACCGACACATCAATCTAGAGTATAGTTGAGAATGATATGGAACTTGCGAATCTCAAGCATAACTTGAGTCGGGGACCATGTGATTTTGCATGGTTAATTCACAATCTATTTAATGTGAATCTTATGTTATCCATAAAAGTTGCACATTCTCTTTATAACTTGTTGATGGAGCTCGTGTGGTTAACCGACATGTCAATTTGAGAGTATAGGTAGAGAATGATGTGGAACTCGCGAATATCAAGCGTAACTTGAGCCGAGGACCATGCGATTTTGTATGGTCGATTCACCATCTGTTAAGTGATCCACGGCGACCCCGTCATTGAATCTTAGATGAACATAATATGAGATTAACATGCCACTGATAGTCAATGAATCTCAAAGATCTAGGAATTTCGTGGTGATCGAAATTGGCAAAGGGCTTTACCTACCTAAATAACTTTATGGTATGTTTCGGCATCCCTTTACACATCATGGAGCCAAATATGGATCCTAGCCTTCTTAAATAATTTTATTTAGGGTAATTATTTTCTAAGGATAAGTAAAACAAACTACAATGGAAATTGATATTGAATGATGTATATAACCTTATCCACTACAGTCTACTGCTAGAAAACCTCTAAGGATTAGCTATGAGGATGATCAATCTTGTATAAATTCGTAGTTTGGGAATAGTTCTCATAAACGAAAGGAAAGATCATGCCTTTGATAAAGCTTTTCCTAGGTTATTCCAAACATTGCATTCTAAACTATTAGAAAGAGCAATTATCAAGTGTACGTTGTAAACTGACATATTTAAGTAAAATGGAATTTCCTTGAGTTAGGAGTTGACTAGAGTTAGCCGACTAGCTGACATGTCCATATAATCAGTTCATTATGATTCTGATATAAACAACTTGGAATGCCCATGAAGAAGTTGTGTAGCATGTTGAGGTTTCTTTTTGAAACTAACATGGCTAATCATAGAAACTCAAACTTCAAAACACTCTCACAAATTTACTATAATGAATAGAAGTGTCAAGAAGAAGAAAACCAATTGCCTATGGGTTAAAAGGCGATTAGTGTTGGTAAACCAAAATCTAGGCCCAAACGTCATGGACAAAGGAAGGCTTATTCTGAGACATATTCTGAGAGGTACTCCTTTCCATAACAAGAAAGGATCTAGAAAGCATACATGCCCAAAATATATATTTGAGGTGAAAGGACTGAAACCTGAAGAAATTAAATTTGATCATGGATCACGAGCCCTTGCTACTTTCCATAGGATCAAAAGATAACTAGTTCTCCCGTGTTTGGTGTTCAATCAAATATATGTAATCATACTTCCATCAGAACATTACTTCTAAACCTTGCGTATTTTACTAAGGATTAAGTACTGACATTTACAAGAATGTCCAGTGACTAAAATGAAGTAAGAAGACTGAAACATGGAGAAGATAATTTAATCATGAATGTCAAGCCTTTGCTACTATTTATGGGATCAAAAGACAACTCTCCCCAAATGTTTAGTCTATGGTATTATAATTTAAATTGTTTATAATATGATTCATGAGATAGTTCTGACTTATTTAAATGTGGAGAAATTCTAATATGTTAAAAGAAAGTCATGAAATCTCTGAAGCTAGTATAGTAGCAATAGTTGAAAATTGATTCGAATATTTGAATAAGGTGTATTATTGTGGTGAAATTATTTGTTGAAATTAGTTTACCTAATGGATCCTTCAGATTGACTACAATACGTATTGATTCAAATACATCCAAAAGGTATGGGTGAAATGTATTTGTGGAATCATAATCTTCGAAGCATAAATGAGAAATGCATTACCAAGTATCCAGTTGGATCGGATTTTGGATATCATTTGACCTCGAGTCTTATGATGAATGCAAATCTTGTTTATCAAGATAGATGATGAACACATCACTGGGTGATATGAATATAAGTTGGAATTAGTTTTCACTAATGGACCGTTCAGATTAAGCCACGATACATGGTAAGAACAACTTCATATGAACGTGAGTCTGGAACCTTTCAGGTGTTTAGAGCTCTCATAAAACGAAGTTAAGTATCAAGTGGGCAGTAAGATGAGACACTTATAGTGAGCATCTCAGTCCAAAACCTTATCGATCATCTAAGTAATTGTGAAAGAGTTTCATGAGCTATCTCCACCAGAACACTACCACCAGTAAGTGTTAGTTGGATAGAGAAACAAATCGTTCATTGATTTTGTACTAGATGAGTCGCACTATGCTTATTAACAATTCATGGTTTGTACCATGAATAGTGTTATGAGAAGTCCTTTGGTCTTGTACCAACTGAGAAGGTTCATGAAACACTCTATGATATGTGAAGTGGGATTCATTCCTAACTTGCACATATGTAAGTCTACAGTTATGAGGCTTATGCTCGTCGTGAAGCACTCGACAATATATGACTTAGAATAGAGATGTGGTATCTCATTGGAGAACCCATCAAGCATTTTGGGTAGTTGTTTAACAACCTTCTAAGAATAAAGTGTATGTTTCTTGAAGGCCAGTCTTCCAAGAGAGGGAGCTGATTTCCAAAAGGGCTAGTGGGAGCCACATTGATCTTGATAAGATTCAAGAGTCAACCAAAGAAGAGCCTAAAGTTGGACCTAGCATTCAATTCGAGGTTGAAAGAGCTGTTAAGGAAACAGACACATTTGCACCTCTTCCTTATAGATCTGATAGTGGACGTCATATACATAGTTATATAAGAGTTTATATTACTAAGGTATATGAGTCACTCGTAGAGAGCAATTAGAGTGTACCGGCTATCTAAAGCTATGGTAGGCCCTAAAGGCTACAAAATGGAAGGAGGACATGGAAAGGGAGATTCAATCCATGTTGGTTGAAACTTGGTAGATCAAGCACTTGGCCTTAACCATTAGGCGTAAGTGTATCTTCAAGAAGAGACAAGCATGGATAGAAACAAACACAAAATCAAACCAAGATAGGTTGTGAAGGATGTTTAAGCTTGCTAAGTTCATTTATGTACCGAAATAAGCATCTCACAAGTGGGATCATTATTTCAATGAGAAAGTTCAAGGAGCTTGAATTTCGAGAAATAAAGATGAGCCATACATATGGCAAAGCTAGTTGGAGTAATTGGAATCTTTGTTTCAATGAGAAATTTCAAGGAGTTTGAATTTCGAGAAACATAAATAAACCATATATATGTCAATACTAGTGGGAGCACTGTAGTCA